ATACGCGAGCGATATTGTTTTTCTGTGACAGACAAAATTCCACGCGGGCGAAGCCGCGGGCGGAAAGCTAGTAATAAATAGTTACTTACGATTTATAATGCTCAGGACTTTTTGTGATTCGTCCATCGTATTCTTCAATACGCTGCGTAAAATAAAACTGTACCATAATGATGATTACCAATTTCAAAGAAATGGTTCCTCATGTACCTACTGGGTATTGGATTTCACCAACTGAGCTGAATCTCAATGCTTGTCTCAGCGATCTGCAGTGTGCAATGCACATCCAGTTTTTTTGTTTTTTTCATCGGAAAATTAGATGACCTCTGTGCGAATAAGGCACTCGTTCCACCGTTGACGATAAAGGTAATACTAAAACCAAAATAACTATTTTCTCACTCAAAAAACGTGTTAAAAAGTAGAAAATACTTACAATTACTGACTGTTTGCTCAGCGATTCAAAATGTGTTTTGGCCTCCAATAGGAAATGTGGCCATTTGCCTCGGTCATGTCAGACACTCGCCTGCCTCAAGCTCGCAAGATGCAACAAGAGCTGTCAAATATAAATTCGCTGAGCGGTCTTGATACTCGCCATGAGACCATTCAGCTTGCATTCTACTCAATACTTATTGACGTGCTTTACGTTTTTGAGCGAGAAAATAGTGATGTTAGTCGCTTCCCCGTATCTCTTCCTTATTAAGTCAAAATGTGCTGCGTCATACGCGTCATGCGATGAACTATGACGTCACGGTCCACGGGACACGAATGCGCTTGTAGTCGTCAATCACGCTTGACGTAATGGTTCCCAAGCGGCCCAATGTGTGGATGGCATCATGCCGTAAAGTAAAATATAGTTGGTTTTACCATTTGGTTGATTAAATTCTACAAGTATCTATTAAAGTACCTGATAAACGTAATGAGGATTGTGTAGTAATTTATAACTATAATATTATACTTTGTCTTATTTATTTTGTAGTTTTGAAGATCAGTAGATTAAGCTGAATTTCAAACTTTAGATGTACTTCTATCTGAGCAATTCAGTTTTTAAAGTAAAGAATCTAGAAATTGCTTAATTTCAAACCTCTTGGTCAGGTCATACGATATCTTTTAAATCCACAACTAAACTAAAATAAATATTATGGTTTCATCTAGATTTAGGTTGATCCTAAATAATCAAAAGGATAGATCTTATGTGAAGGAGATGTGAATCGTAGCAAACTTCTCATTTTCCGACAGACCTAGATTAGGAAAATCCTTAGAAATCACATTATAGGCTAATCCTTTCCCGCCGAATAGTAGTCTTCACGTTTACCTAGATCCCTCTTAATTTAGAAATAGCACGTCCTTGTACCTTACACGTGGTTTCACTGGATTTAGGTATTTTATCTAACACTCGTTAGGCTCCAGGCCTTTTGTCTTTGTCTATTAAAACTAAGGTAACGTTGTTCGCCTAAATTCACATTTTAGTAAGATGGCTCTTACTAAAATGAAAGACAGAAAGAAAATTCATGTTTTACTAAGAGAAGATTGTAAACACTTAATATGTTATTAAAGATTTGAATTTGAAATGGAGCGAAAATTTTCATGGAAATTGACATTTATTTTTTCTATATTTCCATTGGTGGTCTGGTGGTAAAAATAACAAGATTAATTGCTGTGACTCCTTTCACCATAAATGGTTATAAAACATAAAAAAAAGTAAATAAACTTTCAACGAAGTTAGCTGAGTACTTCTTTAATATAGTCCCTTGCTGTGTGCTGGGTTATATCCAGTTAAAAATCTGAACACAAATCATATCACATCACTTTTGAAGACCATCATGACACTTTAATACCTACCTAATCGTAAAATGCTGACAAACAAGTAGATAGTTACGTCACGTGCCTTTTTTCCTTGAAAACAGTGTAACATCAAAAAAGTTGAAACAGTCGTTCTAAGCAAAACCCGATATCGGTTGCTGACAACCCCAAGTTATAGGGGAGAGTTCGGTATATTGTACCGCCGGGTAAATTGTACCACCCTCATATTTCGTAAAGTATTTATTGAATGTCTGTAATTGCAACACTCAGCGATACACAACTAAAATAAATTAATATCGGCCATGTGGTTTTTGCCGTGACAACAATAACGTGTGTTTTATTTTGAAAAGTATTTTTTCATTGTTTTCAAGTAACTTTTGACAATTCATGTTTAGTTTGTAATTTTGTTAAATTTAATCACAGGGTGTTTCTAATATATTATTTAGAAGCGTAAATTAGTGTGGATTACAATTATTTGAAACATTTTTCGGTATTTATAAGCTATATTTTTTACCAATTTTGTAAAGGCACTATCACCTAGTCGGCTAAATTGTACCACACCAAGTTGTATGGAACTTTACCAAAGGATTTTGAAATTTTTTTTAGTAAATCATATTTTGAAGTTATAATAGCGTAGTTATGTTTGACTAACAATAAATGAAAGCAAAAGACTGGCAAAGTAGATTAGGTACAAGTGTGCGTTACGATAATTGGAATTACAAAACTTGTACTCAAAATCGTGATAACGTGTAAAACAATATCGATTGTCTATGTTATTAACTACTGTTACTTTTCGTTTCCTAATTTGTTAAGAATGTATCGTATAATATTTTGCCATAGTTTTTTAATAGGCTTGAAATTTATTGAAATTCAATTTAGTAACCCTGTGGTACAAATTATCCAACCGGTTGGCTAAATTGGACCGAAGCTCTGAACTCGTACTTTGTTGATTTGTGCTAAATATACAACAATCATGTTAATTAATACTTATGAAATAGTAAGTTGAATAATGTATCTTTTATTATATACCATGGACATTAGCAAAAACAAAAGAAAACTATGTGTAAAATGGGATTGAAAAAAACTGGTCCAAATTAGCGGACTCTCCCTTATTATGACCTGCCGCCTTTTTCATGTCGTGCAAACCGTGACATCCGATGGGCGGAACATTGATATTTTAAATGCCCAAATTTTTTTCCCGAATAAGGTATTTCAAAGATTCAGGGTATTTTCGTTACGCTATAATTATGTGTTGTCCGTCATGAAACATTTTTGTAAGAAGTGTCGATAAATATTTCGATAGACATTTTTAGTAGACGTTCGAGTGTCGGAAAGATAATTACACATTTTATTCGTCATTGTGATAAGTACAAGATATTTAAACAAATAACTGTTATTTGTATGAATAGCTAGAGTCTACGCTTTAGTTTTTTAGCTACAAAATTATTTATGACGTTATATTATTATACACACGCAGTGATAAAGACAGTGCTCCACCGAACGACAAAATAAATCTAACCTAAAAAATATCACCATTCCTGTAAAGTTTCAAAAGTACAATGACAATTAATTTTTGTTGCAGTTTAATTTAAATTCCTCGGCACAAAAATTGGTCTCTACAAATAAAATGCAAAATAAAAAATCCTTTTTATTTTCAAAACAATCTGTACTCATCAAGTACAATAAAATTCACCTAGCGTCGTTTTATTAACAATGAAAAATTACAAGGTTTTACATTACAATATTCGATTTTACGTCGGGCTACGCCTTTGACCGGCAAATACAAAATTGAACTTAATTAAATAAATAACCGAATAACATTTTTTAACTTAAGTAAATTAATTATCACAGACATGTACATTCATTGTGTTCAGACTAAGCCACAGTTTATTATAAAACAAAATAAAATTTCTCTAAAATATTTCCTTAAAGATAAAAACGAAATGCCTACATTAATGCATTTGGTAATTTTAATTTCAAACGTAATTTGCAATTAAAAAGTTTGATTTTATATTTTTTTCTCAATCCCTTGCAAATCGTATATTCTTGAAAATCGTATCACCTTTGTCTCTTCAAAAATAAAAGATAAGCAAAGCAATACAACACTGCAGTATGAACTTTCCTCACAGTACGCCAGTGCAAGCTACGGGAAAAAATGTCTCTGTGAAAAACAAATGAAAATCCTGATAGCGAACGTGTTTGAATCTCTTCGCTCAGGTTTTAAAAATGGAATTCTCAAAATTTTCTTTGAATAAATAGGGCCGTTGTTGTAGCCAAACGACAAAATGACGAAATAAACCAACTTCGAAGTTTTATAATATTGGCAAATAGTTATTTTTTTTATACCAAATGACTCAAGTATTTTGAATGGTGGCTTAGTGTGAACATCCTCTTAACTACAATCAATTAGTTAAGAAATATTTCTAATAATGGCGAACTTTATTACCATAAATAAATAAATACAATTATACGTTGTACAAATGACATCAATAGTTTTTACTCTGAATTTATAATTTTTAAATAATTGTGGTATTTTTACATGATATTAAAAAAAGATATTTATTTGATTGTGATTAATAATATTGACATAAAGTTAAAAATTGAAACAAAAACATAAAGAGCTACATCGTATCTTTTTACATTTTATAAACAAACTACCAAAAGGTAGTTAATATTATACAGAGAGCGACAATACTTAATTTTGACATGAAATATTAACATTGTTAGCAATTCAGGCTTTACAATATCAAAAAGAAATAGGAAAAAAAATAAAGTCGCCTGTGTTTGCAGCTAATTCTTGATAGTATTCTTTTTAATTTCTTTATTTATAACATTTCTTTTTATAATGTCGTATCTGGCACATGCTACGCGTATTACGCACTATCACCCGAACTTACAAACGCCGATCACAAATCTAAAATAGTTCTTATTTCGTGTTCATTGCTTTCCAATTATTTTTAATAAGAATTGTAGCTCTCGTATCACTTTGATTTCAAACATCTATAAATTATGCAGAAATATATACAGTAGGTAGTAACACAGATTACCAATTGTTTTTTAATATGATAGGTGTATTAATATTACAATTACAATTCTCTATCTACACATATCAGGATCATTCAACATAATTTTATTGGATATGTTGTAAGTTTGACGTAAAAATATTATTTTATATCTAAAAGTTAACGTATTTGAGTTATCCCACAATCATTTTTGGACCAAGCAATAAACGGACAAATGAAAAAGTTAAAGTATAATAAATATTTACAATAAGACATACGATTAAGTATATTATATTTTATACACAAGACATTGAGATGTGTTGATAGAGTTTACGTTACAAAACGATTCGAAGCCTATTTAGTAGGTATTCACATGACTACAAGATTGTTACACATTGAAATTGATATTTTCCTTTATACTGACGTAAGAAGAATAAAAGAACTTCTAAATAAATCTAAAATAGGACATCAAAAAACATACTCATAAAAATCATGGAAGATTTCACACACAAACAAATTATAAATAGAAAAAAAATGGGTATACTAATGCCCATTTTACCGACAAGCCCCTAAGTAGGTATTCCCTAGAGCTAAACTAATTGGTTCCGTAAATTTGATACTTACGTAAATTCCACGAATAAGTAGGTATAGGTAGGACCAATGAATAATATTGTGATTAGGTGTTACCTAGAATTGACTCGTTGCTATGGAAATCAAACTATCGATCCTCTAGGCTTAGGGGATACGTAACATCTAAGTGGTGACGAAAATTAGATTGTTCATGGGATCCATAGGATCCCTAACTAAATGCCTTTACCTTATGTTTAGAGCTTGTCACATTAAAGTCCAGTAAAATGATCTCGTTTCAACTCAAAAAGGATTTAGTTCTTTAATTGAATTACTTATTTTTTAATTATTATAATATTTAAAAAAAATTCTTACGCAGTATTAAGGAAAACCTCTTAGGAAGCAAGGGCAGTTTAATACGTTGTTTTAGAAATATATTGTCGATATGTTCCACCGGAATCATTGCTTTACGAAACAGGTATAATTATAATTTATTTACAGTCTTCACATTTTTTTCTTATCAATAAAAATATCTAAAACCTCTATAAGTTAATACTAGTGTCGTTCAGTTGTTCTTCGATATCCAGTGAAGGATGTAGTTTGTCTGGCCGATACCTGTTACAAATAAATTAATGACAGAGTTTTCATGTTTTCTTATCTTCTTTTGTATTATTTTAGTTGAATTATTCTAAAAATAATAAAGATTTATGTTCATACATTTGCTATCACGTGACCATCTTCATTAATTGTTCGTTTTAACCTAATGTCGTCCACTGCAGGACAAAGGCCTTTCCCAAATATTTCCACAACTATAACTTTCTTACTAACCCCTTTATTAATAAAAATAAGACCCTTCACCAAAAAGGAAAACAACTCATATACCCATTCAACTCTACTAATTAACCGTCTCGTTATTTTCAAATACCCCCAGGGAGAACACGATTGATCTGTACGAAATAATGAATGAATGGATGCGAGGGTAGTTGAGATTGATGGTGGGCAACTTACTTGGATCGTTTTTTTCTTCTTACAGTATTTACAGGTGCGGTCTCCACGCACAGAACAATCAGTCTACTGCTGCATGAGTACCTAGAGAAAAGAAAAACAATCACTGTATGATTTTACATAGTTGTATTAGGACGTAGCATAATTTTATCAAGGGATCGTAACCGTATCAACTTAAGGCGGTCAGTATTATTTGTATGAAACTCCATACTGAAACGCACACTTATCTTATTCGCACCGTAAGGTAAATGCCTCGCCACGCGGTTCACAGCGCGCGCGAAAGGCAATGACAGCTCGCGAAAGGCGATAGGTACTGGTTGATCCCTTTCCGAATTGATAAGATAACCTTATCAATTTCTTTCCGATAGCTGGTCCATACCATCAGGTGAGATACAGGCCAAGAGCTTCCTCGTTGTGGATAAAAAAAATAGCTAAGTTTTGTGGTTATTTGAACTGCAAGCGATTACACAGACGACTTGCACATTAAACTAAATATTGTAGCAATTATTTTTATTTGTTAAGGACATTTACAAATAAAATGTCGAGCTTACGATTTTAATAATGGCTACGTAACGAGTACATTATTAACCAAACGAGATATTTTCTTCAGTAAACTAGGTTAATTCTATAAACAAGTGCGATTTTATACGCTTGACTGCAAACTACTTATTTTCAGACGTAGTAAATAATTTTATAATTTATTCGAACGCTAACTGAAGCTAATGCAATAAATCCAACACCAACATTTTTATGTAAATCGTGTTCTACTTCATACATATCAGTTTTAAAATAGAACTTGCTAGAATAATATTTTTTTCTCTACATAAAAATAAAAAGAAATAAACAGTGAAGTTTCTTTTGCTTTTCTAGAGCAATATTTTGAACTGATTTAATTTCACTGTGAAATTACATCTAGGTACTTATTGGAAGTTACTCGTATTTGGTATTATTGTAATGATATTTGAAACATTCACAGTAATGCCTGTTTGTATAAATTTTATGTTTACCTCCAAACTAGAAAAAGATCTCCATTTTTAAACAAAATAATCTAAGCCAGCCAATTGTAATGAAATCTGGAGATAATATTTACATGTATTTGAGTTTTCACACAAATAATACCGTCAACAAATAAATACGTAAGTATATGGTGTAATCCAATTTTACTAGACCAGTGCTAACACTGCATTCATAGAAATCATTCAGAGAAAGGATTCCAGGTTGGTTTTCCCAAGAATAATTATGTATTCTCTTTGGAAAATGCTTATAAAGCTTTGACTATAGACATCTTAAATAGAAAGTAGTGCACTAAAAGCTTAGCTTTGAAGTTTTATGTAATTATATTTCGTGTGATTTAAGTGTAATTGTCTCTTTAATACTAGGTAAGTATACAATGTTGATTTTGAGAGATATGAAATTCAATAGATACTTAGTCTGAATATATTTTAAGCACACATATTTGTATTGTGAGGGAATCTAACCCGGGAGCTCTGGCATAGTGGTCTGAGATGCAAACGAAATCAAACAGTCGTTTTGGATCTTACAACGATGAGGTTCTAAATAATTATGTTGGCAATAATGCAAAGAAGTCGATTTTGGATCTAAAAACAAGACGATAGAGTTCTAAATAAATGGTAGCTACATAATTATAATGCAAAGGAGTATAGATCGTGTCATCCACGAAGACGCGCCCCACCATTCTTCCGCTAATGTTTGAGTGTTATCGGTACACGCTAAATTATCCATGAGTGCACACGCACACTACAATAATGACGCTCGGATTGCTCGGATCAAACTTCCCGCACCTCGGTGCGTCTTCGTGGATGAAACGATCTATAAGTGTTTTAACTCACGTCTCTTGGTCCAACAGTTTGTTGGAGTGCAGCGAGGAGGCCAGGCCGAACTTCTCCGCGTTGCTGCTGTGCCACGCGTCGCAGTACGCGTCCATCGCCGGCTCTCCGTTGGGGTTGGCACCGTGCCAGACCGCTTTGGTAGGCCTGCCGGAAATGGATGCTGTTACGGGCTATTCTATCGTCAATTTACCGCCTAATGTAAATCCTGTGTATTAGGGATCAAGCCTGCATATCAATTCATCCTTTGAAGGGTAAATGTCTCGGGGTAAAATCTAATTGACGGACTATCCATGGCAAGAGCAAAAAAAATGAGGAGTTCCAAGGTAAGTGTCAACATCGCTCCAGTGCAAAGAGTGTATCAAAGAGAGTAGTTAATAACATTTGAGTTATCCTACCATCAAATTGCTTAAAATTTCTAACATAGATAAGAAATCTGCAGCAAAAAGAGTCCTACATACCACGCAGGATCTGTAAGCTCATTTGGCTAAAGCTGAAGATTCGTCGAACAAATCTGCTTTATTTGTTATGCAATTGCTAGCTACCTGCTACCTAATATAAAAATAATTTTAAAAAATTGTCCTTATTCTCTTTTACATACCACGCAGGATCCATGAGCACATTTTGGCCGCTAAAGCTGAAGATCCTCGGCGCGTGCGCAAACAGCGCGCCCGATCCGTCGAACATTTCTGCCCATGAGTTGAAGAGGACGTCCCCTCGAATGTTGACCACAGGGGTCGCACGGTTGGCCCAAGACACTATGGTGTCCATTGTTTGGACCCTGAGGACAAGTAATTAGATGAAAAAGAGCAACATCAAACAATAATGGAGTCTTTCAGTGACTTGGCCCACTTTTAGCTTGGTTAAGCCCACTCAAGAGTAGATTTTTGTTAATATGGTGTTTATTTCATTAATAAAAACATTGAATGTCGGCCCAGTTACTGGAAGAAAATGTATTTAAAAATTGAATCCAGCGATTTGGCCCATGGGCCAAGTTAAAAGTCTGTGGGCCAAGTCACTGGAAGACTCCAATAATGCTACTGGGCGTAGATACCTACTCATAGTAGGTAGGTAATATACTACCTACCTACAAAAACCCTACGATTATAATACAGTCTGTAGCTTGGCGCTTTGTTTCTCCATTGTGATTGTATATGTACCTACTCCCCTATACATATCTGAAATCGATCATTGACTTCTAAAGGTCAAGGGTAACGACCAAAACAATTTACAAAAGATTTTTATTTTTACGCCAAATAAAATATTACTACGGGCCTATTGTTTATGTAACAAAACGCCTACAAGCAAATTTGCTTTGAAATTTTAACGATTCTAAAAACATTCATGACTACCTATAAAGGTATGTTTCGTAAAATAGTAATTGATGGTGAATCACACATCTGTGAATATATTTGACAAAAGGTTTTTTAAATAGTCTACAAGGAAATCCTGAAAAAAAAATTTTTTAAACACTCGGAAAATATCTCCCATCTGAAAAGATGTACGGAATCTTTAGATTATGCCCGCATGGTTACCTGAAGTTACCCTTGTAACTTTGACCTTTCATCTCAAAATAACAGACGGTGAACCAAACACATAACACACAAAAACACTTTTCAAACGGTATTTTTTTTAAAGTAAGCCCACGAAAGTAAAAAATCCCCAGTAAATCTTAAAAAACCTTAACCTTCCGCACACCAATATCTCGCATCTGAAAGATTTGCGGCATCTTTAGATTATCTGCTTGAAGGTTACCTGGAGTTACCCTTGTAACTTTGACCTCATCACAAAATAACTGGACGGTCACACTTTCCAAACGGTTTTTTTTTAAAGTAAGCCCACGAAAGTAAAAAAATCCCCAGTAAATCTTAAAAAACCTTAACCTTTCGCACACCAATATCTCGCATCTGAAAGATTTGCGGCATCTTTAGATTATCTGCTTGAAGGTTACCTAGAGCAGGCCTGGCTCACTCCGCGCGGTACATCCGATAATTACCTACAGCGAAGCGCCCCGCCGGCGGGTATTATATCAGTCGAGTGTCACGCGCGCGCTCGTCAGGACGCTGGCGTGCGTTGTAGTATGATTATAATTCTATGATCGAAGTATTATTTAAAAATGGACATAAAGAGAAAGACATGTGGGAGTGTGAAACGGAACGCAAGGGAGTGAGTGAGACGGAATGAATGAGTGAGGAAGTAAGAACGACGGGATTTAAACAGAAGACGAGTAGTATTAAGACGGTTCTAAGACGTTCCTATTTTTTGTGGTTTATCCTGGAGCAAATACAAATAAAGCTGAAGAAATACAACCTGGGTTTCAATTCCTACAGCTTGGGGGCTCGTCCGGGATAGCCCAAGAAAAGGAAACACGACGATTCACGACGATTACGACGGATTGAGACGTGAGACGTATTTTTATCAATCATGAGACGACGACATAGTAAGCATGATTTCGAAGATGCGGAAGATGCTGGCCCGAGCAAGACCCTGGAGCAGCGCATACCTACTACTTTTGCCTATGCCGAGGAGCTGATCCCAAAATTTAGTGGTCGAGACCAAACTGTCACCGCATCAAGATGGGTCCAAGAGGTGGAGGAGAACGCTGAGATCTTTGGTTGGTCACCATTACACCAACTCATTGTGGGACGCAGATCACTCATTGGAACAGCGGCACTCTGGTTGCGGTCGGAGAAGCCATTCAGGTCGTGGGACGAGTTCAAAACTGGTTTACTCAAAGAGTTCCCGGATTCGTTAGACGTAAAGACAGTCCACGAAATGATGAGTGCGAGAAAGAAGGCAAATAGTGAGAGCTGTACTGATTACTTACTTGTCATGAAGGAGTTGGGAAGGCGCGGGAAAATGCCCGACTACGTCGCAATAAAATACATCATAGACGGCATCCTGATGAATTTAAATAAAAATAGTTTAAATTTAGCAGACGCAGTTTTATTGCAGAGAGATTACCACAGAGAACAAGATGGCGACATAGAGCGATTTGTCTATTAACTAGAGACGTAACTACATACTAGTGTAGATCTGCTGAATCGGTAAATAGGGTTCAATATTAATAAATACAACACTCTCACCTAATTTGAACCCTTGTTCTTAAAACATAACTACTTTAAAATAAATACAAATAACATTTTGCATCTGAAGTAAACTTAAAGACATATAACTCTCACCAAAAATTAACAGTTTTAGTAATGTGCAAGTTTCATAATACCAATTTTACTTCTAAGATACTGAAACTTGTCTCTAGGTAAAGCTTTAGTGAATACATCAGCAAATTGCTCCTTAGTACAAACATAATTGAGATCAATTTGTTTCTCTACATATTTCTCCTTTATAAAATTATATTTGACATCAATATGTTTACAACGCTTATGGTAATCAATATTTTTGATTAAACAAATTGCACTTTGGTTATCTATATTCAAACAAATTGAATCCTGATTGAATTTACCAATATCTAATAATAGTCTTTTCAACCACAAAGCTTCTTTTGTCGCAGAACAGGCGGCCATAAATTCCGCTTCAGTGGTGGAAAGTGCAACGCTTTGCTGACGCTGTGTTGCCCATGTTATTGCTGCGCCGTTTTTGATAAACACATATCCCGTCAACGACTTTTTTGTAGACGTGTCTTTAGCAAAATCTGCATCACAGTATGCCTCTACTTGGTTCTGCTGTGATGTTTTATAACACAAACCATAGTCTTTGGTTTCTTTCAAGTATTTCATTATTTTCTTGACAAATTTGTTGACAACAACGCGATAACTACGGCGAGTCTTATTGATACGGGCAGCGAGGTGAATCTCATGACGGAAGACGTGTACAAAACTATCGGCTCCCCAAAATACGACGACGGAAGATGTTTGACGTTGAGTGGACTCGGACGGACCGAAGTTGTCCCGTTGGAAAAAGATGATCAAGTTGTAGTACACGACATAGACGACTCTAGACACATGACTGAAATTGAGAAAATATTAGAAGACTGCAAGCCTACAGATGAAATAAAGAAAAGTAACGACTGTCAGATTGAACACCGACCTGTATCACGTATGAAACAAGCCGACGTCCTAAGCTGTTTAGTACTTACCGAGACGACTGCACGACTGAAGAAAGCACAAGATGAAGACGAACATATTCAGATGCTGAAAGAATCCTACCAGAATGACATGTTGTACCAAGAAAGAGATGAAGATGAATTATTATTTGTAGTACCGGAGAAGACGCAGAACGAAATTATAAGAGAGAATCACGAGGGAGGGAAAGAAAGACTGTTTAACCGGATTAATAAAGGAGATGATGAACTTGTTAAGATGATAGAAGAGGAAAACGTAGAAAGAATGAACGAGACAAGACCAGAGTTAAGAGAAAAGGCAAGAGAATGTGTGGAGACAATTCAAGATGGAAGTGTTAGAGTTTATAACAAGAAAAGAAAGAAAGCTAGAACATACGAGAAGAATTGTATTAAACAAGATTAGTTATAAGACGCTTTAATGTAAAGTTTTGAAATGAAACAGTCCGAGGGCGGACTGTACGCAGGATGGCCGAGTGTGGGAGTGTGAAACGGAACGCAAGGGAGTGAGTGAGACGGAATGAATGAGTGAGGAAGTAAGAACGACGGGATTTAAACAGAAGACGAGTAGTATTAAGACGGTTCTAAGACGTTCCTATTTTTTGTGGTTTATCCTGGAGCAAATACAAATAAAGCTGAAGAAATACAACCTGGGTTTCAATTCCTACAGACATATTGTGCGGCGTTCGGGTGTTTAAATTCGAAAAGTAATCTACCGGATTTATCTTTTTTTTTCGCTTCCCAAAGATGCTGAAAGGTTTGTTGGCCATGTAGGTAATAAATAATTCTTAGGATAGTATAGGAACCTAACCTACTATGAAGGTTTTCCATAATGAATGCATACTTACCTACATACGTACCTCATAACAAATAAGTAGATTAATTATTTTTTCACTAGACAGCAACCCTAACAGCGTAAGAAGAGTTCAGAGGCACGCGATAGAAAGAGACAAAACTTGTAGGTGAATAAAATTGTAGGTACGTAGTGCTGTGCGAGCTGAATTCCACTGTATCGCGTCGTAGCAAGACTCGCATTTATTTAAATCGTCTTGCGGAGTAATCCTTCTGTACCTGTACTATTACTTATTCTGTGCCTAGAGTAACCCTTGTAACTTTTTGACAAACGGCGCCTCGCATCGATTAGTTGAATTAGATTTCTAAACCCGAGCTTTCCGGCTTTGTATGGTTTGGAACTTGACGGCCTTTGAAGGAGGAAATTCCCTGATACTTTTCATTTTCAACTGGCTGTGCCTGTGACTTCGTACGTTTGGAAATCGTTGGAGTATTTTTTCTTGTTTCAAATTTTTTCATTGAGTTTCGCTGCTATTGGTGACGTAATAGCAGCCTTCCTAGATACGAGTAAATGGCCTATCCAACACAAAAATACTTTTATCATTCCAGAAATTAGCACTCAACCATCTTTAATGGTTATTGTGCCTGTTGTAACTGTTCAGCTGTTAGTCGTATAATTTTGTAAGTATAAATTATGTTAATATTCTACTCAAGGTATTTAGGCTTTATGTAATTTAGTTTGAGGATCTAATTAGTGAATTAGACCCGTGAATTAGTCGGATTAAAATCAAGATTCATTTTATCACCAAAACTCCGAAGACCGATTTAATGGGGAACAATCTCGAAATCGTTCGCTAATGTAGCAATAACGACGAGTAGAATTAAGTCGCTATTATCTCTCCGATAACGTGTCAGCACATCCTCTGTAAGGGTTCTGCTAATGGCACCAGACTGGGGAAATAATATGTAGTTACGGAATAGTCCCCTCGCGTGGAAAATAATATGTTTTGCATTTTCGTTTGGGTGGAGATAAGTACGCTGAACTATAATGGGCTTCATATTACTTTAGCGGTCACTGAAAACGAGTCTCGTCATACTTATGTTAAAATTTTATGTTACCTATCTATACCTATTTTGGTCATAATGGGTATTTAAACGTTCACAAGAATTACGTTGGAGAAATTAAAATACTCATTTGTTACTTGCCAACTGACAACAATTACTCCCCAAGGAGTATGCATAATTGCATAATGCATTTCCACAGAGTGAACAAAATAATTCGATCGATACCTAGCGAAAACATACGAGTGAAGAGAAAAATTCCTACTGCACCGACTTTAAAGGGCCTACGGTTGAGTAGGCCGTAATAACGAGCGAGCGTTGTCCAAGTTAAGCTTCTACCACACCAACGCGGGCAGATCGCCATTGCATTGGCCATTGATCGCGCCGTGATCGCGCACACACTATTCGATGGCGATCTGCACTCGTTGTTCTGGTTGAAGCATTAATCTGCAAACGAATGCGAACAACGTTCGACTCGCGAGCGAATATGCATTATAAAACTCCAAACGGCCACGTTTACAGAGGTCATTGACTGACGAAACTTTAAATAACTGAACTACATCCATTCTTACCTCGAGGACACGAACGCGCGGAAGTTTCCCTCCAAGTTAGCCCTCTGGGCTTGCCTCCTGCACTCGTAGTTGGTGCTGCTCACTCCGTGCATGTCGCCCGTGTGAGGCTCGTTCAGTGCTGCCAGTCGCAACTGGTGACAATGTTGCCATGTTAAAAACCAAATCTCTTGATTCGGATTTTTCTGCATTGATTTTGATGAGAAAATGAACTTGATGAAAATAACATCAATATTAAATACACAAACGTTCTATTTGGCTGAAACGCTTAGAAAAGAGCTTATTTCTAAATTGCAATTAGGCAAGAACTTTAGTTAGATACATTTCTTGATATAAAATATAACTATTTATCTAGTGTATTGGTAGTAACACAAAGCTTATAAAAATCCAATTTATTTTTTATTCTGTGTAGTAATTCTTACCCATGACCGTCACTAGTTTAATTTTTAAATCTTACTGGCTTGATGGTTAAAAATTAAAAATGAATTCTAAGACATTGATTTTAGAACGAAGTTGAATTTCGAACACATTCAAAAGTTCTGAAAGTCGTTAACCTTTGCCGCACCTTCCTTTTATCGGAGTTCTGATACATAGCCCGCATCGTCTGAATACGATCGCTCTCCATCTCCAATCCTCATCAATCACTGACCGATGCTATAGTAATTCAAATACAGGTTCAAAGCAAAGCCAATATTTATGGTAGGAATTAACAGAACTTAACATTATGAATGAATAAGTTATAGAATGGGGCAATATGTCCAGTTTGGTAGCGCTATTAACAAGTTTATTTTACTAAAATTAAAATATGAATTCTGGATAACTTTTAGTATGGGTGAAACAAGTATTTATGGTCATTCTTATAATATGTTAAATATCTAAGCAAACTAAACAAATGAAAGAAATTGTTTTGGAATAGAACCTACGCATAACTAATCTACTTAACTTTCAAAGAGTTACACAAAATCACATTTACCTTCCCACTCATTAGGGACCAGATTTGTAAAACCGGATACTGCTATAGAAATCTGGCCCTTAATGAGTACCCAATACAGTTACGTATAACATTCGTAGAAGACTAGTACATTTCTTATTCACATCCAGGATTTCTCCGAATCCAATCCAATTTCTTCACGTCTTGGAAACTAAGTACATACAGGCTCGTTAAGGTCAAAGCTCTATCACAAGCTCTAAGCTAATCAACGGGCAAAATAACCAAGGCCCTGATTGCACTGAGGGAATTCTAGTCCCTTTGTTCCTATTTTCCCACGAAATAGGGTTACGCACCTAAACAATTAAGTTAGTTGAGGGCGTCAAAATCCAGTTTATTAAGTCGCGAAGGGGTTAACTTGGGCAGCGATGGATCAATACATAAATACGTGAAGGGATATTCACATAGCTGTGAGACGTGATCGGGGCTTGTTTTGCACATGCGTCATTCGTACAATATGCATTCAATCATTCAATATGCATACAAATAATATATTTGTCATGGAATAGTAAGGATTAACACTTTCTTGATACTACAAGGATTTAGTCGCATTAAGTAAAACTGTAGAAAAGCTGCTATACTACATAGGACGAAAAATGAAAATACAATATAAAGCATGCAACAAGGACCCTCTGTTATGTAAAAGGGAGTGATACTAGTGGCTAATATAGGTACGTACTTTTTGCATACAAATCAGTAGTCAAAAGTGATTGACCAAATAGTACAGAGAAAGGTTTTTTTTGCGTTGGTACCCTACAAAAATTGTTAGCAAGTAATGCAAATAAGTTTGTCAAAAACTTACCACCGGTCCTTCCACCAGCTGATTTTTATGATGAACAAGACTAGACGTTTCTAGAATGTTCTGTATTGGCACTCTTGTTGGGCTGTTGGGTGGCGTGTGGATAGCTAGAAGTGATCCCATCTAGAACAAAAACAATTAGCATCAACTTCCACAGTTCCTACTTAGTAACGCTAGTTTAAAACTTAGTTAAATTGCAGTGTTATGTTTCAAATTACACGCCTCAAATGGCAAACAAGGGTGAATAACATTTCTCTTCCTGGTAGAGTTTAATTATGTTTATACTTAGATATTATTGCGAAAACAAATTTTGACTTTTTAAGACGTGTTTTTCTGACACACAATAAATTATTTAATGTCTGATAACAGAGTTTTCTTTGGCTAATTCTAGAAAACGCTTCTAATTTTATCTAGGTCTACTTTTTATGGGTTTAATTTTTAAAAAGCCGTAGAAAAAGAATAGTTTTATGGTGCACACGAAGAATTACTTGAAAAATCAAAGTAAGTAAGTACAGAAAATTTTACAAATCTACTGTTTCAGTAATTTCAATCCGATTTATAAAACATAAACAATCTACTAAAAACTCTAAAAATGAGGAGATTATAACTTAAACAAATGAAGCTCAGTCCTTACTCCCGAGCATATTCTGTATCCAGTTACAAAGAGTACGGTCCATTTAGAACTTTAATGCGAACGCATTAGAGCGGATAATATTTACAGTTGATTCTACACGGAATGGTTTTAACTTATTCAAGGCTTTACCCGATGGGACAAAGAATAAGTTCCTTTTAAATAATGCTGGCAAAGTAAAAGAGGTTGCTATTCCCAGTAGAGTAAACTTTATATTTTTTTCTCTTTGTTAAAATATTTTTTCAGATTAATCATACTCATGAGAAAGATTGTTTCGACGCAAAATAATCTTTCATTTTGTTAAATTACGACTTGTTAACCCGTATTACACTAATAGGCTCTGATAATAAAATTATGAGAGAGAAATGAGATTTAAATGAAATGAACAACAGGCATTGGAGAAGGTATTTAGGTTTTGAGTTAATTGACTAGTTACTAGACGGTTATTTACCAAAAACTAGGTCATTTAAATAAATGTATCCTTTTTCAGTTTCAGTCTTAAAATTACAACAAATTACTGTAATGGAAGAATACGTACTAATAAGGACAACCAAAGACCTTAGTTATTTACATTAAAGGTCATAGCAGACTTATCAACTCGGTAAGAGATCAAAACCGTATCGCCTTTCGCACGCGCTCTGTCAACCGCAAGGCGAAGTGTTTACGTTACAGTGCGGATAAGCGTGCGTTGCAGTAGGAAGGCCTTTGTCCAGCAGTGGACGTCTTTCGGCTGAAACGAACGAATACTAGATACGCATATTAGATACTGACCGCCTCGAGTTGATACTGTTACGATCCCTTTCCGGGTTGATAAGTGTGCTACGTCCTTTAAAAAGCGGCACCATACGTGTTATATTGACAACTTTGAACCTTATTACACCACATTAATTTAAGCTATTAACGATAATTACAAATATCACATACTAATGGGGCAGTAAATAGTACCTATTTTAATACCACAACTATAAAACAATTTCGTAAAGCTGACTGTCCATAGCGGGACATTCCAATTAGTAGAATTACTTCATAATTATATGCCATAGCGCTGAATTAGTCGTTCACGGAAACATTATTTGCCACTCTAATATATTACTGATAGTAGAACTATTTGAAGAATCATACGCGTATTATTAAACACGCTGATTGTCCTAGCACATACTAAAATGATATTTCATTTATGAATATTTTGAGGCGTGAACCAGATTATTATCTGGTTATGGTACTTTATGTAAATAGGACCTTAATCTTTTCATTACTTTTTTAAAGTAATACTTACTCCAACTTAGTGATAGTTTACATCAAAACTTGAAGATAGAAATAGGCAAATCTGTAGTATAGTAAAATCCAATGTAGGTACCTAACAAGTAGTGATTGTTAGGCAGCCATATAAAGAAGATTATTTTTCTTCTGCTGGTCAAAAAAAAGCCTCAGAATATCCTTCGCTGCTCACATCCAGGCGCTTCCTTCGACCCGCGACCTTCTTCACCAGGTCGTCGGGACACCAAGTAGGAGGTCTACCTACATTACAATAAATCAGCGACTCAAGGTGTAACTTACCGCCACGTACTGCCATCCAGTGTTGACGCGAACCAGCAAAGCTTGCTCTTGTATCACGTACGCTAATGTTCCTAAAGGTGTGTTCGCTCCCAGCTGAGAAAATAAAACATACATAGCACTTTTGCTCAGCATAAAACACAAGTAATTTCAAACGAAAATAAATTACGTCTAGAGACGTTTATTGCTGTATTTTCTTTCTCTCAAGACAAGAAATTAGTCTTAAAGCCTTAACTCAAATTATAATGTTTTAACCAAGTAGGTAACTAACTGGTATATAATTCTTTATGTTATTTTTATGATTGCAGCTACCATAAAATGCCATAGCAAAAATGTTGATTCGGAAAATCCAATACGCCTTGGTTCCACGAGTATTTTTGGCGCGGCAACCTTCCAAAGGTATATTTAAAGAAGCAGGCAAGTATTTAGTATAAATGGAATAAAAAATAAAAGCTAGATTCATCGCTTTAATAGGATTCCGACCGCGGGAAAATAGCTTTAAGTCACGGAACCGTAGTGCAACACTCCACCCGCGAAATAACTAGATACTTTTGTATAATGGCTTATTAGTAAGTCGATAGGGATTGTTTGGATTGGAATTCCAAGGCATTTTATGGCACTTTCATTACGGTTTTGAAGTGGTTTTGGAATAATCAGATGATTTTGTTTTTAATCGGAAATGTTGTTCTAAGCCACGGATAGAAGAAGAAAATGTTTTTGAAATGGTAACACAGGATATTTCTAACTAATTTCAATTTTCACTCTGGTAAGCAAGACCGAGAATCTTTGTTAAAATAGTCACATAATATGACACTATGGCGTACTGAGCACATGCAAAGTGTGTATAAAAGAAACATGAGCTATTCGTGATCTCAACAAAGTATCACTCGCCCAACGAATAACACCTAAGTAAGTGTTAATAAACTTACCCTGAGTAAGGAGTCAGTAGTTTTGAATATGATAGTCCCAACTATAGCTCTGCCATCTTCGTCATCATCGAATTCCGAGTTATCTCCCATTGGATCTAAGAAACCTAAAACAAAACGATATAATTAAAATCATAGCCCTACAAAATGCTAAAAGCAAAAAGATAATCAACATCTAGAGAGTGGTTTAATCTTAAAGTAATTTTCTGTAAGAGATTAGGTACAACAATAATTAATTTATCACAACTATTTGTCAGTTGAACAAGCTGTCACTTATTTATATTAATATTTGCTTCATACAGCATTTGAACCCAAAGCAAGCAGCATGTATTAATTTGTATCCTATTACGCTAACTACCACTCCAGGCAGCAGTTAAACAACAAAATAATATGCTTTCGTTACTAAAAATAGCACACACAATAAGAAAAACTCTAAGGCTGGGTTACACCATCTTACTTTAACAAACATCAAAAGTCTGTCAAACTCCATACAACACCGTGACTAGAAGTCACGGTTAAAGTAAAGTGGCGTAAATAAAAAGATAAAGCGTTTGTCATTTGTTTATAATTATTATTAATGAATGAGTACCAAGTGCACGTAAATACGCCTCTTGTAAATTAGATTTTCAGCTCGCAATAATTAATTCCTTGTTCAGTAACAATGGTCAATAGAGCGCGAAACTTTGTATTTGATACTCCATTGCGTTTAATTTATGGATAGTTAACAGGTTTATTTGGTTAATAGCATATTTCGCTGGCAAATTAGTTTATGTACTAACCGTATGACTCTGGGCGGAATTGCACTAAGTGGTTTAGATTTCGCAGAATGTTGAGCGGGTTGCGTTGTTTTCCTGTTAATTATATGATTAGAATAAGAATAAGAATAATAATAAGAAGAATAATATTTTTATTGATGTAATATCTACACTGTAATATTTTATATAGAAACCCTGGCTCCTAAACTAGTGTAAACTCTATTTCATTTTTCAATTATTAATAATTTACACAAATTCTTAACTCAAATTAATGTAAGTTCCTATGTGTTTCAGTATTAAAACATTTTACAGGACATACATACAGGAAAGAAATTTCCTAGTTCAGGCACTGGTATAATTTTACCTTTTGTAGCATAAGATTAGCCTAGAGTTTAAACTGTCAAATAAGTTATTCAATAAAGATTTTATTTATTTATTTATTTTAAAAATCCTATGAACACTCTTTTCAAATATGAATTAATGAATAATGGAAATCAACCAGCAATCAATGATGTAATTATTGATCCATTATGTTTTGACTTTTTCAATGCCTAAGTAAAATTAATTATTTTCGTAAGCTTGATTTATGACAAAACTTCCAATTTTAGTCGACGCAGCGTTGAAATTGTACAGATAAATGCAGTTTGCGCACTCACTACGCGACGTCAAGCAATAAAAACCTAAAATTCGAACGCCAACTTTTTGCTACAACGCTCTTAATATTAAACTTATTAACTTATTACTTACTTTTACTAAATTAAAACTGTTATAGTAGGCTTTAAAAGTACAATGTAATCTCTTCTGCGCTAACCATACATGAACATGAAGGTAAATTAATTCAACCTCCCGAACCCATCCCAACTAATATTATAAATGCGAAAGTAACTCTGTCTGTCTGTCTGTCTGTCTGTCTGTCTGTCTGTCTGTCTGTCTGTTACGCTTTCCCGCTTAAACCTCGCAACCGATTTTGATGAAATTTGGCATAGAGATAGTTTGAGTCCCGGGAAAGAACATAGGATAGTTTTTATCCCGGTTTTTGAAACAGGGACGCGCGCGATAAAGTTTTTCTGTGACAGACAAAATTCCACGCGGGCGAAGCCGCGGGCGGAAAGCTAGTCGGTAATAAAGGCAAATTGCTAATACGCGCGAAACAAAGGTCCGGAATCAGGCTATAAAAAACCAATTCGTTATTCATTGAAAAGTTCTTAATGCTCACCTGTGCCCGGCTCCCGCCGATTAATCCCTGGACTATCGGTCAATGTATCGGCCGGGGCCTCGTAAGGGCCGCCTGCAGGGCCCGGGGGCCCCGGGGGCCCCGGTGGCCCAGGCACCGGAACGTATTTCACATTCGACGCCGGGTTACCAGCCGGCCCAGGGGGCCCCCTCGCCCCTTCTTTCCCCGGCGCGCCCGGGGCCCCGTCGTAACCCCGGTCGCCTTTCTCACCTTTTATCTTTAAATAAATGGACTGTCGTTATTCATTTGTTTCGTGGTCGCAACTCCCCAGACCTTTTCGTGGTGTTTTTCTTTTTTTTTGCCGGCAAACGATTCGATTAATGAGCCAGATACATCAAATAACACGAAATTCTTTGTAAATGTCTTATTGAATGCAAAAAAGATAAAGACATCGTTTTGGAAACAAAGTCACTTTATTGGATCTTATTTCTGATCCCATAAAATTTGATGGTTTTTTATCGTTACAAATTATTTTTTGTCAATGTCTGCTATTATTTTTATCCTTTGTAGTCTTTGTTTTAGCGATGTATAAATAACATAGAGTAAATCATACAAGACAAGTAGGACAATAAATAGCTTACCTTTTCTAAATCTAATGGATTTAATCCAGAATCTCCTTTCTCGCCTTTAGGCCCTGGGGGTCCCGGTTGGCCGGCAGCCCCAGGTGGACCCTGTGACAAATACTTGAAATAAACCTTTTTTGTCTCTTTAGCGCAGCAAAAGTGATAAAAAATAGTGTAACAATGTAACATTGGGCTGTAAATATAGGTTTTATCATGTTACAGTAAAATATTTAATAGTGATATACCTACCTAGGTGTCTGATGCCCGTTTTCACGATCAATCCCTAATTTTTAAGTGACCTCTATAAAAACAAAATGCCTGTTATTTGTTTTCATAGGGGTCATTTAAAATTGAGGGATTGATGGTGAAAACGGGAATTAGTTAGTCAAACAATAATGTTTTTTTTGTCGTAAGAGACGTTACAACAAGAAATACTTAGTAAGGATTAATGTATTGTATTTTTAGTATAATGTATAATTTGTTGATTCACTATTTTTGTCAAACACGGTACTATTTTGTCTTACCGTCCATCCGGGCAGGCCTATGTCTCCTGAAGGTCCATTAGTGCCAGGTGTGCCTGGCGGGCCAGGGAGGCCTGGAGGACCTCTGGGGCCAGGTGGTCCAGGGTGGCCCCTTTTACCCCGTGGCCCTGATTCGCCTTTATCTCCCTAAAAAAGAATACATAATTATGATCTTTGACCCTTAGTAAATAGAATAGTAGTAATTATGAAAAACCTTTGATTGTTAAACAAAAGGTTGCAAAATTTTTACCTTCGTCAATACAAGCGCTTCGTCCCTTGATATTGCCACTGGTCCTGGGGGACCCGCTTCTCCCTTGTCTCCTTTAATGCCAGCTGGACCCGTCAGGCCCTGGGTTCCAGGCAGCCCAGATGGCCCGATGTCCCCTCGCTCGCCCGGTTTCCCGTCATTACCCGGGAAACCCTGTGGTCCTTCCATGCCTCTCGTACCCTTTTCACCCTAGTATTACATAACAACATTTATTATACCCGGGAACATTAATCAAATCAGCAATAAAAGTGTCAACAGCCATGCTGAAAGCATTTGAATAATTTGTAATATTAAGTCAATATATTTTATGTTAAGTAGCTTAAATCTCTAGAGATTTCATTCATTTAATCAACTCAACGATCTGGAAATGTAATAAAAAGTATCATTATTGATATAGGAAAGTCTGCTTCTAGAATATAATTTCAATTTATTAAATGTGTTGTACTTAAACGTTATTTTACTGAACTTAACTTAAGATTTATTCTGACTTTTGTTTCTTAAGTCAACGAACTAACTTTGGTAAAGTTGTTTGTAGCCAATCTTTGCGAGTTGTAATACCGTCTCAAGTTGCCTTATAAACAATATCACTCGTCGAACTTTTATAGATAACGTTTATTGAGACTGAATTTTAGTTCAGTAATTGATGTAAAGTTTTGTAAGAATAATTAATAAAAAACCTGTCAGGTTACCTTATCCCCCTTCTCCCCTCGGTCCCCTTTCAGTGCCTTCAAGTGTTGTGGGTCTCGAACCGCTGCCAAAATTACGTAAAACATCATTTATATTCAGGATCCGTTAGGAAAAACCCATAAAATGAAGAAAAGTTATTAGTATAGATATCTGGAGCATGCTCATAAAATGTTACTCAAAAGGTAGTAATAAAATTTGAAGGACAGTTTCTAAATATCGTCCTAAAGTGGCTATTTAATGAAGATCCAGTGGACTATAATAGGGTTAGTCGCTTTTTAGAAGTTCGTAGTAACTCATTTGGAGATTTTATTTTTGAAGTTAATTGATTACTTCGTTCAAAAGTAAATGATTGACTTCGATTCAGAAGTTACAAATTAATAATTAAAATTCTGCGGACCCAATATAATAACTTATTCTTAAACTTAGGTAATTTAACTTCCAACAATCGAAAGTTCAAGTTATAACGAGGTTTTGCAATATTAATTAGTACATAGGGATTGGGCTTTAAAACCAATCACCTTGTAGGTGAAATAATATCGAAATTACTGTGTCACAAATTAAAATCCGATATTTTATAATCATCTAAAAAAGAAAATAATTATTAAATATATCTTATAGTATTTTATAGACAAACTCACCAGTTATTATAACAAAAACCTTGAAAAATATTTAGGTCAATGAGAATAAGTATCCTCGTAACCCAAATTAAAAGAACCTCACTCATCTTTGGACAGGTTTTGGCGAGGGTACGACCCAACACAGACAAATAAATAAATAACTAAGAATAACAAATGCCTTAAATAATAATAAATATCTCAATATTGATACTGAATTCGGAAAACTCACCATTTCTTATATTATCCGTTGTAATAGTATTTTCTGATACCGTTGTTGGTACAGGCATCGGAGGCCCGGGGGGACCGGGCAGACCGCGCGCACCTAGAGAAATAAATTGAGTTAGTAATATACAAAAGTTCTAGCTAAATCAGTCCTTGTTGCTGTAGCAACAAACGTGGGGTAAAACATGTTTTTAAATAAATCAGATTAAATAACAGCTTCGTTAGAATAAGTCTTTATTTCTAATGTGATGTGTATTAATGAGAATATTTGGAAATACAGTTTTGGAATCATATTGGCCTATGTTTAGCCCATAATGGAACCATATTGACCGTAACCACGACCCTCGAAACTAAAACATAGATACAAGTGTGTAATTACATATGTAAATTTCAAACTTTAAGGCCAACTCCAGAAAAAGTAAGCAACAACTTGCTTAAAGAATTTATTGAAGAAAGACCCGTGTTTGAAAGTTACATGAGCGTTAATATTACATTGTAATTACATGAATTAGAAATGGAATTGTTTAACAATCTTTTGAGCGTTCAANAAAGATTAAAGAATTCTTAATCTATTCGTGCAAAAATCTTTAAAATTAACATAGCCGTTTGGGAGGAGTAGGGAATAGAAGTAAAAAATCGATGTCCCGTATTTATTTTTTTAATCCACAACAAAGAGACGTAGGAAAAATTCAAACGTGTCAAATGTAGTCCTTGAACTGTTGTATAACATATATTTTTTTCAACTATTTCTGTCCAGCAGTAAAAGAGGAGTAGGCTTTACAAAATGACCATTTCACGCGGATTGAGGACACTAATCGCCTTAACTGTCAGAAAACATTCAATATTTCATCAGAACCCTTTAAACGTCAAATAAAAAAACACCTCAGAAGCGAAGTGGACTCCGAAATAAATAAACAAACCTCTTAACTTTCGATCTGAAAATAAAAAAGTAAGCGTCGACCGTAAAAAGGAACGTCAATAATAAATAAAAGCTGGCGTGCAGCGCGAGGCCTTACAAGGGTCTAGTGCGAAGAAATAAAGATTTTCCAAATCGTTACTATGAAGCCCTAAAATCTCGCGAACGCGTTCTTTGCGAATAAATAAGGGTCATGGTGAACATAAAATTTGATGGTCGAGTTAGTTCGTACCTTTTTCGCCTTTTTCAGCTGGTCGGCCGTGGGCGCCTGGCAGGCCGGGCGTGCCGTCTCTGCCCGGCTGTCCCCTTTCGCCTTTAGCACCATGTGGGCCTCTGAGGCCTATGAAACCCTGTAACATAGTTATAATGTTAAGGGTCGAAGGTAACACTACGTTACGAGGGTCAAACCGGGCTCTTATTGCATTCGGTCCCGTTTATTATCCAACCTACAAAATTAGTGACGGTCTGCGAGATTTCACTTTGATTTTGTTAGTTTACCTCCATTCTCTAGTACGTCGTAAGTAACTGGATTATTTCCCCCACCTGTTTTCGTTTGTTACGTTTCTCGCTGCGAAAATTCGTCTAAATATCACGTCTAATGAATGGAGTATGTTTGTAGCGCGTGTACATTTTTTCACTTGAGCGCCTTCATATACGGATTATGTGGAATTCTTTTTATGAGTCTTGAATATAAATACTAGTAACGTATGTCTCCATATCATTCGCAGACGCACGTGTTTTGATTTAGTGAAAATAGATAATACTCGTAATAAAAAGATGGTGATAAAAGGTAGGTATGTACCTATTTGTGACACAAAACGTAAGTATACCATTTTTAATATTATGTATACATACCATGTTACATTTTGGGAGTCTTAATTAAACGTATTCGTTGTCAGGTATTTCAGGGAAGTTATTTTTGAATTTAATCACAATGAAGTTTGTTTGTTCAGGACATCATGAATTAATCATAAGAGTTGATTTATCAAACATTCTGATAATTACTTCTACTAAATTGCTCTAGACACGATACGATCTCACGTTCGAAACAACACTGAATGAGTGAATAAAATTATTATTTTCTGGGAATACTCCGTCACTTTGAAACTTTTTTATTCTAATCAAACACTCGTGTACGTAATTTAATCATATAAAGCAGAAGTAATTAGCATAAAATAATATTTAGAGAATATTATAATCTAAAATACTTATCTTACAATTTCATAAAAAATATAATTTAATTTTACATAGTTTAACTTACCCTTTCACCTTTGTCTCCCTTTGGACCATGTAATCCTCTTTCCCCTTTGTTTCCTTGATATCCCCTTTCGCCTTGAGGACCGGAAAGTCCCATTGGTCCCCTTTCCCCTACAGGGCCAGGTAAACCACCGTTACCAGACCCGTATAATACCGTTGATTCCTAGAAAATAATGTTATCGTTTAGAATAGTAAACAATGTAGTTGCTGACAAACGTTCCAGGCTAATCAGAGTTAAGTGAAATTTTGTGTGCTTATATATCATCCAAAAGGGATATCTCTTATCTGACATAATAATATAATACTATTTCTTTTCTTTATTGAATCTCTAACTTATTGAATTGGAATTTCGAGTTATTTGCTCTCATACTATAAGACCATAAGAAGACCCAAAGTCACTCAAAGGTTTTTTTCACACCATGAAGTCAAAATTTATCGATCAATATCTTCATTAATTTTAATCATTCCTTTTTTATGTTTAGCGGCAGAATTTTACGTAATACGGTTTTTGCATGCAGCAGTGAAAAGTAAACCATGGGAACAAACCATCAGAGCAGAAGACACTGCTCCAGGAGGGCCGGGTGGACCTGGTGGGCCTTGGAGGCCTTGGATACCATCAAGGCCAGGTTCCCCTTTCGGCCCAGGCTGGCCTTCAGGGCCCGGTGTGCCCGATTCTCCCCTTTCTCCTCGATCTCCTTTTAGGCCTATAGGCCCTGGCGGTCCTGGATCACCCATTTGACCCTACAAACAGAAAATATTTTCAAAACGGGACAAACACAGAAAATACTATTCAAACTACTTTAGATACCAAAGGCTTTTTCAGACATGCGACTCGTAGGTATGTAGGTACTACACATCCTTAAATTGTTTCTGTCTTTTTATGAAGATTACGAAATAAAAAAATAAATTGCACTGATTATGATAATGGTAAGAATTTACATGATAACAAAGTTGTCGATGTCCTGACGAGAAACAAGTATTTTTACAAGTCTTTATTGACGTACACAAACGTGTGAAAACTATCGCTGATATTAATAGAGATGTCTGTACAGGAGTTTGCTGATAAAAAGCGTATTTCCAAATATTGTCGGACCAATTTTCACTATAGTTTGTAAGCAACAATTTGTCGGGTCCCCCGATAATTTGTGTTGTCTCGTGAAAAACTGTAGTAGTAGCGAAGTGAGATTTCCCTCGGCGCTGTCTTAAACAATGTACAGTGACAATGCGTGTTTATAGTGATCCTGGGTAAAGTAACCGGAACTGAAAAATAATACGATGGAAATGGGGATTTACTCGACCTTATTTTGTAGTGAATTGGGTCAGTATTTTATTCGTTACTGATACAAATGAAATACTCTTACTACATTCGGCAGGGAGAAAAACCCATTAATATTAAATGGAGTAAATCCGATTTTGGTCAATAAAAAACATTATGAGGTATACATCTATTATGTCTGATTTAATATTCAATTTAGATTCAGCTAGAGGTAATAGAAAACTATATTGTTCTCTAACGACATTCCCAAATGAAATCCTAAGTACTTTATTATCTTTTGCTTGTCTTTGAGTGAATTTGTTACTAAATCAGCGTCGGATTTGCCAAAAACATCGTCATCATCAAGTGATTTTGTTTCTAGTTCTCTACTGCAGGAGTATGACCTTCTCTTTTTTACCAGAGAAAAAATTGAGGATATGGCCCAAACTCTGCACCCTAACTAAACGGGATAAGGCCGAATACCAGTTACCAATATAAAAGAAATCATTCAAAAGCCTATAATACTGTTGTCCATAAAAGAAATCAGATCTACATTCTACATTTATAAAGGAGAAAATTAACTCACGGTCTTCCCAGGTGCTCCTGTGGTCCCATCAGCACCAGTAGGTCCTTGTGGACCGGGGGGTCCTCTCAATTCTGGTGTGGTCTCCAGGATCTGTGAGACATCATTTGGGGAGCACCTGCAGTATCCCGGTGACTGTATCTAAAATAGGAACGAGAGACAGTTTTTGTAAAGGTTTACTCTTGAAGGTTAATCAAGGGTTTACTTGTTATAATCTACTGTGAAGGGGGAAGCCCTAGGGATTATGACACATTTCAATCTGTTTTAATTGATTCATGTAATTCAAATATGAAGTTATCAGTGTGAAGGTATGGCGTGGTATCTGACTAATGACTGACTTTGTGAATCTCTTCTCAATAAGTGTTTATTTATTGCGCCTCTTGTAAAAATAAGTCTTTTGAAACTGAAATATATAGCATATTTGTTATTTCTGATAGAAGCGATCATTTTTTATAAAAAGCACTTGGAATTATGAAAAAGCACTTAACGAAATAGAAGGTGTCAACTTTACAACTTTCAGAAACACGGGTAACAAGAGCCTCGTGATTATGGTAATCTGATCAAAAGCTTCATTCGAAACCAAATTCGTAACGTTATCTCCAACGTCTTTTGTTGATTCACCCTTTTGTTGAAGTGAATGTACAATACTGAATAGGCTGAAGCTGTACAGTGGTCTTTTGAATGACCACTTTAACTCTTAGGTTGTTCAGTATAAGGAGTGTTTTGGCGTGATTGTGTACTGACTGACTTTGCCCGAAGTCCGGATCGGACCAGCGGAAGGGCCGGGCTATTCGCACCGTCACCTGATCTCAGTTTAGATAATACACCCGTTTTGATGTAAATAATGTATACAGTTTCCGTTCTTGCATATGCATATTAAGCTTTATTTCGGCTCCTCACGGTTCCCTGAGTGCGAAATTTGGATTTTTGGCGCGATACAAAGTGAATTAGTGAGGGGGAAGTTTTCGCGTTTTATACAAAGCTGGGAAACATCACAGCAGTGTGTGCTGGGCTGTATATCGGCTTTTATTGTGATGTCATTACCCCTTACGTAGCTTTAATTTTTTGTTACTTGTGACTTTTTAGTGTAGGAACAAAAAAAACTTACCGATTCTCCTTTTTCCCCGATGTAGACTGAAATGGAAGAGCAAATGAAATTACTAATTTCTGGCAAGATTAAAATATCATACGCTTAGTTTTTGGTAATTAGATAATTAAGATGATTCAATTAGAACACGTTCTGGGAAACTTCAGCTTTATGAAATTAGTTCACTTAGCTTGCCTAAAGTTTTTGACTTCAAGATCAAATTACTCAGGAACTCTTTGACAACGTGTTTTCGATTTTTAATGTAATCCTAGGAATCGTCCTTTGATCAGCAAAATTAGATTTCAGGTAATGCTAAGTACCAGTATACCGGTAATTAGAGGTGTCTGTTTTGTCATGTTTAAGGTACTTTTACCAAAAGTTTAATAAAGATTGATATCCTCACATAATACCGAAGTGTTATGTGAAATAAGTTTGTTTTCTTAAATGTAAATACATAATATGTAAGCGTTTCCTTAAAATATTTAATTATGTTTCATATAAATTATAGAATCTATGTACAGTCAACGGAATATCAAAAGTTTTTCTTGCAAAATCGCACCTTAATTCAACTAAATACGAATCAGTGTTTACCTTGACATTTCGTGGTCTGTACATAATTCTGTATCACTCCTCTTACCGTATAACAATGTTACACCACATGAGAATTTCACACGAGAAAAACATTTCGTAAATATGAAGCCATCTCCAAGTTAGGATAAGTAAGTAACTTCCGGTAATGTGTCAAGTGAGATTGATGTATCGGGGGAAAATATATGAAAACCTACTTACATGGGGAAGAATGTGACACTACAGGCAGCCGGTTCTCCTCAGGATTTACCTGTAAAAGAAATTTCATGTGAGATACTTTTTATAGAATGCTGGAATTGTAACAAGATAACAATTTTGTGCTGATTTGCTACGTGTTTTGGGGAGGTAAAAGGTTTTTGCGTTCTCAATTTTGCTGGTAGATATAAAGGTCGCTTGTTAATGAAAGAAGTCACCTCTAGTGTATGGTAATACAGTTTGATTAGCATCTCGTAAATGTGTATAATCAGTGTGTTCAATGAAGGTAAGGACGAATATGCCTGAAATTTTAAATAGGTAAGGTAACGTGCTTATTCCTAACGATGCAATTAAAAACACAGTAAGTACAGGTAACATGACGTTGAATACACGTTTTTGTTACAAAATAACAGCTATTACCACCACATAAGTGTGGAATGGTACGTTACTCGTACCTATTTCAAATATCAAGCTTAATATTTAAACACTTTGAAACATTTTCTTCAAGCAGGGTTTGCGTCATCGTTATAAATACCACATGCCCTTAGACCTAACTAGGCAAACCTTTTTACGCTAAGACCAATAAGGCTGGGTTGCACCATATTCGTTCGTTCGTTTCAGCCAAATGACGTCCACTGCTGGACAAAGGCCTCCCCAAGGTTTTCCACAATGAACGGTCCTGCGCTGCCCGCATACAGGCTCTTCCGGGACCTTTACCAGATCGGTCCACCTAGTACGAGGCCTGACAACGCTAAGTCTTTCTTTAACTTTAGAAAACGTAAAAAATCTGTCAAAATTCATACAAAAGCACCGGTTAACGTTATAGTTACGGTCAAAGTTAGGTTGTGCAACTCAGCCTAAGTAATTTTCTACTTAAATATTATACTGTTATACCTCAATCAGACCCTGAAAAGCCAGTGTAATCAATACAACAAGTGGACAGCCCCCTAATGAGATTATGTCGTGTCCCAAAGCATTCAGTTTCGCTCGTTGTTTACCTTCACGCCTCCAGATAAGATGGAGGCCAATGTTTATGTCTCAGATAATTGACGGAATGTATAATTAGAATTAGGGGAATGGTGTTTAAATGAACACTTTTATGGTGATTTTAGGTAATGTTTAGTTTTAGTGATTTGTCTTGGAGGTGAAGTTTAATATGTCGTGGGAATGGGTCAATAATTCTAGTCATTCTTTATGAGATGTGCTCGTGGCATGAGTTTTTAACTTCACTTAATAGTGCCTGTGAATAATATTGTGATACCAAATGCGCTTAATTAGACCGGCATAATTAACGATAATCAAAAACACCTGTATTACTATTATGGAAGCAATAAACTTGAACTAACTATTGAGTAGATTTAGATTTATGTGTAATCATACGTCTGTAATCTTAATATTACTAATATTTTAATAAATTCCTGGTTATTGTATGTTATGGTTATAATATTAAAAAATAACTATAATATTCATAGATCATCCATGATATAAATAGATTGAAAACAAACCTGTTATTTTGCGGCCCATCTTTTCGCTATTTGCATTCACCTAAGATACGAAGCCAGCTTATCCTTTTCATAGATATTTGAGGCAGAATCTGGGGCAGCGGCCCGGTTCAAAGTAAACATAGTTGAACTCTTTTTAGAAACAACAAAGTGTACCATTGAGCGTGTCGTAGGTCTACGACAAAGACCTTTGTTTTTGCTGTTTCTTTCTCGCAGAAACTTCGTGTTTTGTACTTCTTGGCACAATCTGTTTTAGCTAGACAATTACAGTCTAAGAATCTTATTGAATAAGTTAGTTTTACTGCTTTTATTTATCTCTTAGTCTGATTTATATAAAAGTTCTAGCATTCTCTTTGGGTTGAAGTTCAAACATCGGTAAATTTCTTAAATTTTAGGATGACAGAATAGTTTTCAATTTTAAAAACAAATTAACATGAAAATAACTCTGTACTCAAAGATTCAGACACAGTCAGGTAACAAAATAAACTATTATTATTTGTATTAATGTGTTAAATTAAATACAACTATGCATACATAAATTACTAAGTATTGCCACTTGCATGCAAACGGCGCGGCATAACGTTTCCACACTTCTCAGTACCTCATATAGAGCAAGCCCCGCGTACTCTCTCACACAGGCAACCAATTTAAACGAAAGTGTCATACCTAATATCCGTCTATACCAACACCAGCTGTGTGTCCAAAACTTTAATGACACACTAAAATCAAATAACCGAATAAAACTTACAGATAAAGCTAAAACTTCACTAGCCCCCATAAATTCCCTATGTTTCATTCCACAAAATGATCACGACCCTCAATACTTAGGGACAACTTAGAGATCCCGAAAAGGATACAAACAAACCATATAAAGCTGGCTGAATAAAAACCTTCTGGCTTTGAGTCGAGTCACGCCCAACACTCAGCATGGCTCCAGTATCAGCGATACAGATAAATAATTCATACTGTTCAGTACGGTTGCGTCGATATTGAAACAATTCTCCTTGCGCTTTTTCGGATGTTCGGGATTAAGGGGAGCGAGACGGTTCAGATCCATAATCCTTTGATATGGCAACACGAGAATTCTTTCAAACAATAATTCTGGATTGAATTTGCAAGCGGAGCGATAAGTCTTTATCGATACTTGTTAACACCTAACTACCCGAAGCTGAAAATGTGATTCAAAACGTTAATATAACAGAATAAGATGCTACGACACCACGCTGAGTGGATTATATCTTTTCAGTATCATTGTACGGACGACAGCACATCAACCTTAACACAGTGTCATCTTATCTCGTAGTAATACAGGCTATTTTGCAACAAAAATGTATAGGTTAATATGCTGTCGACTGTACAAGTACGAGTACATGTATATTAATTTTTAAAGATTTGTCTTCAAGTGTAATGATACTAAATAAATATTTTTTTCTTTCTCTCTTTTTAATTACGATTAAGTATTACAGGTCTGAAATAGGTATTTGGACAATTTGGGTATCATCACTCATAAGTCAGTAAAGTTTTAAGAGTTAATTTTTTAATCTGAACCGACTTTCAAAAGTCTTTTGCATAAAAATGTCTGACAGTCTAATGTTGATGGACTCTAGAAACGTTTATCTTTAAAAATATCTGTCTCAGAAATTTAATTGTGCTTGCTCTAATAAGTTAGCTAGTTAGGTATAGATGAATACAAAAATATAGTGCGTGGCTCTGTAAATCCATTGATTTAGTAGCCCAACTTAAGTTTAGTTTTGGCCTGTGATGCCGCCTGCATGGATTTAAAAAGGATTATCGTGCTCCTATCGGAAACTGAGGCCAAAAAGCGGCGCGAACCAAGCCAAGATACAATAATAATTATGTCCCATCTACCTCTCTACCAAAAATCGTCAAAAATTAGTAATTGTTTCGAGGTCAGTGCGTAACAAAAAGACTGACGATTGTCTGCTACGTAAATTAACGTCTACAGGTAATTGTAGTTTATCCACGGATATTTACGTCTTTTTGAGTCTATCTATCACTGTCCCTAATGCTGACCTCTCTTTTTGCGGGAAAGGCATAGATAAAACCTTGTATAGAGTAGCCCTGATCACTTGTTTATTTTATAGCCAATGCGGCCGTTAAACCTAATAGCACTATCACCTGTAAAAAGTTAACCTTTATTTACACAACAAAGCTCCTAGAGCTTTTATAGCTGTAATTTATATTACCGCCGATTTTAGTGTGATAACGTAAAAATAGCATAGCGTGTGCACTATTTCCACAACTTGGCTTACTTTTGCTATCGTTGTAGTTCTGTCACATTGTATATCAAATCGACTGATAAAATAAAGTAAAAGAATAAATGCAGTTGACCTACAAACAAATCATGTGGCACATGGCTCACATACATAATATAAAATAACACTATGTCGTGACATAAACTTTGAGTTTGTTTTTTTAAAAAGGTCGTGCTTCATTGTATCCAGATTAAAAGTGTACTTACGACAGAAATTGGAATCATTTGAAAATTTGAAGAGTAACTAATTTATTTGCTTGTCTATACTTATAATTAATATGTAGAGAGGTCAACTCTGTACATGAAATATATTTTCAAAATAACTATCAGGGGGTGATTAGTGATCGATACTGATGCTAAAAATGCAATCAGTAAAATTTTTGTCTGTCTGTCTGTCTGTCCGTCTGTATGTTCCTTATAGAAACAAAAACTACTTGACGGATCTTAACGAAACTTGGTACAATTATTCTTCATACTCCTGGGCAGGTTATACTATACTTAGGAATTCCCACGGGAATAGGAATTAGCGGGAAAATCCTTTTGTATGAAAAATCTAAACCGCTTAAGTTAGACGCTTGAAATTTGGCATGTAGGTACCTTAATAAACTTATAGCTTAGTTACAACAAGGAATTTCCGAAATTCCCACGGGAACGGGAATTAGCGGGATAATCCTTTTGTATGAAAAATCTAAACCGCTTAAGTTAGATGCTTGAAATTTGGCATGCAGGTACCTTACTAAACTTAAAGCTAAGTTACAATAGGATATTGCAAAATTCCCACGGGAACGGGAGTTAGCGGGAAAAAACCGCGTAAGGTAGATGAAGGGGGTAAAACGGGATCCACGCGTACGAAGTCGCGGGCGGCCGCTAGTTTTTTAATAAAATTGTATTCATGTCAAAAGATATCAGTGTTATGCTTGTTGTGCCTCATCTCTACATAATCATATTATGTAATCTTTTTAGGATAAGTCTGCCTCTGATACTGATATTATTATAACATACCTAGTACAGTTATGTAGCTGCTGTGTTCCCATACACGCAATTCGATTATTAACGATAATTCCTTTCCTATGACGCAGACACTTGCCTACATAAATATAGATATATTTATTGTCTAGATACAATATACGTATTCCAGTTCGGAAATGATTTTGTGAACGTCAATATCATTCTAATTATACTTGTTCAACTTTAACAGCCTATTGTATTGTAACACATTAAGCCCATTAAGCTGAACTTTTTTATTTTCATACACAGGTGCAGTGGACGTCTTTTGGC